AAGGCAGGTCTAGCCGTTCCGAAGATATGGGACAAAAAGTGCTAAAAACGGTGACTCAGTTTCTAAGAGAACGGAGAATTTGATTTGATTTGTATTAGCAAGATGAACTGATCAAATTTTCATGAAGGCAGGTCTAGCGGTTTCGGAGATCTAGTAAAAAAAGTAAAAATAAATGCCATTTGGCGGTCAAAAATGATCATTAGACATATGCACATCAATTTATCAGATATTTTATAGAGATTTTAACAATAAGTATAAACTTTGTTTACATCACTATGAGTTCCGTACCAATGTTTATCCGTTAGACGGCGACGCGGCGCTTACGCGCTTCGATATTTCGTCTATATGCAGTTAAAGCATTACGATTGCTTTGAAAAAAAGTTCAGAATTTCCAAGATATTTCAAAATAAATTTTTCTACAAAAAGTCTTTTTTCTTTCAAAAAAAAGTAAATTTTTGTCAAAAATTTATAGTTTCTAAAAAATCTAATTTTTTCAGAGTAAATTTTTGTCAAAAATGTTACTCTTTTAAAAAAAAACGGAAAGTTCCAGCAATGTGCAAGGAACAATGCCATGCGCCCCACTAGTTTCTCAAAAAAATCGTTTCGTCAACACAAGCTTTGTGAAACATTCAAAACAAATGCTTATTTTTCTCAAAAACTGCAATTTTTTGCTCATTTAGCACCGTATCTCCAAAACGGCTGGGCCTACCTTTGCCAAAAACTAATCACCACTTCTCCCTAACATTACGAATTGAATGTTTTTTTGAATCATTCCAATCAGATACTCCGTTCTCTCAAAAACTCGATTTCTATTTTCTGCACTCTGCTCTTTATCTCCGTAACTGCTGACCTGCCTTTGCCAAAAACTAATCAACACATCTCCCTATCAATAGGAATCGAATGTTTTTTGAATCATTCAAATCGGTTGAACTGCGCGTCCGAAAACGTGGACGAAAAATTGTATCCCTACATACATACACATACCCCTAAGTCTGTTTTTACACGGTAGATTGCTTCCAGAAGAAGCCGTGTAAAAAAAAAACGTGTAAAAAAAAAGACATTGATCTTATACAAAAATGGGTGATTTGTTCCTAATCTCTAAAACCTATTAAAATTAAATTAAATTATTATTATTATAATTATAATTAAATTAAATTATTATTATTATTATTATTATAATTATTAAATTAAAACGCGCTAAAGGCGAATTCACTTAAATCTTTAAGCTAGTGTTCGCAAACTGTCGATACTATTGATGGTTTCAGACTTTTTTCTTTCATAAATACTTTTTTGTGATATGAATATACTTCGCAAAAATTAAATTTGACAAAAAAATTGAAGCACATAAAATTTCAAATCGTGCTAAATGGAATAAAATCGTGTAAAAAAATTAAAAATATTCAATTTTCAAACCGTGTTATATCAAAATCGTGTACAAAAAGACCGTGTAAAAACAGACTTAGGTGTACACACATTCTGAGGTATGCCAAAATGTTCAGAAATCTTCAAAACGTGAAGAAATGTAAAAAATTTCAATTTCGATTTTTGGACGATTACAATAACTTATCCTACGGAATTGATCTCAAACGATTCAGAATGGAACGCCGAGAAAACATAAAATTACCAAAACGGATTTTCTGCCTCAGCTAAAACCTCTCCTTCGGGAAGTTACACAAACAACTGACCTGTTACCTATAAATAGTACCTACAACCACTCACACACCCATTATACTATTTTAATTCCCTCAAAGGTTTCCATTTCCAAATTCACCTCGACAATTCGTGTGATGTTTTCATGTACCGTGAAGCGTAAAGAAATGTTATTCCGGGCGGCCGACTTCTTCTTGGGAACAACTCGCTATATACTATAATACTTTACGAAACGAATAAATAAACTAACTTTTGCGAAGGAACAAAGGACCAGTCGTTGGTGTTATTTAAAGGAATGATGATGATGATGTTGATGTTTCACCAGAAACCATTTGGAACGGTTCAAAGTTAATTTGCAGCCGTAAAACGCTTTTATAACTACAGACTGCTGCTACAGCAGTTAAACACAAAATGAGAAAATGGGAAAATGAATCATTTTCTGCTGTATTAATAGATGGTAAAGGATGGAAAATGATAATATATATGTTAATATTGGTAAAAGTATGTGTCTGTGATTTTTTTACTTTTAGTCGAGTTTTTCCCAAAAACTAATGGACCGATTTCAAAAATTTAAAGGTAGTTCGTTATAACTCGATTCAAAATCGATTCAGTAGTTTAGAATGCAATTTCGAAAAAACTGAAAATTATAAAAAAAAATTGCCACTGACCTCCTTTGGTGATACTGAAGGACCTCAGCCTATAATTGTCTTCATCTTCCTCTCCACCTCCACCAGCTCCTGGTACGTCCAGAAATGCTGCTGATTTTCTTTGAGTTGCTAAAAATAAAAAAATACCAAATTTTACAACGACTGTAATATTTATATACATATACACACACATATATATATATATATATATATATATATATATCTTATATATAAAAATGGAGCTCTCGATAAAATGATCCACTAAAACTCGAAAACGTCTAAACCGATTTGGCCAGTCTTAGTCTTGAAAAATTCGTTCCAATCCAGAGATTGCCGGAAAAGTGAGAAATTATTTTAAAATTGCATAGAAACTTTACATTTTCAATTTGAACATCTTTGTAAAAGCGTAATTTGAATAAAACAATGGACGGTGGAAATACGTCAAATGTCAAACTTTTTTGACAGATATTGTTCAATTACGTTTAATAGGATGTTTTACGTGAATATTATTTAATTATGATTAAATTGTAGTAAGTAGTTTTGTTTGTAGTTTTATTTGTACACAAAAACGTTAGTAAACGGGCCGCAAGTGTTACTAGAAACTCAAAATATCAACTTTTTTGAAATGTTAATATAAAAATGCACTTTTTGGCATATTTTTCTCAAACACGGTGCTCTGAAAGACCTCATTTGTATAATTATATACACATTGGTATTCATACAACATTTTCTAGGTTATATTATTTTTTATTTATGTTATTTAAATTCAGAACCTAAATTTGGTATCGATTTCGTCGAATAACATTTTCCAGAATTTATCGAAGAATAGGTAGTAATATATGAAGGTCCGGGGTTAAAAAGGTTCATCAGAGATGTCTCGAAAACCAATAAAGTTAAGCATTGTTTAACAACAATATTTGAAAGTAGAGGAAAAAAGATGTATAACCAGCTATAACCTAGATTCTCATGACTTTGTTATCGGGAGATAAACGGTATTTTTTGAAAATCCATAGTTAAAGTATTTTCTTCCGTTGGTAGTTTTTTAGCATTAGTTAAAAATGTAATTATTTTGTAAAATACCTTTAAAATAAAATAAGACATTAAACCTGTTTGCCACCTGGCCGTTCCAAGTTATAGACTAAAAAGATCTAGATAACGAATTTTTGAAAAAAATCAAAAAAGCACATTTCTAGAATGATGAAGTAGCTGGCAGTTTTACAGAACGTATACAGATAATTGTTCGTTTGAAATGTATTATTGGTTGTGATATAATTGATTTGATTTTCACGATATAGTTTATATTTGCTCAAAGTCAAATTGGACCTTTGTGCCTCGCCCTGCTCTACATTTATAGCTTTTATTAAATTTACTTTATTTCATCGAATGTTACTTGAAAGTTTTCAAAAACCAGGTCAAAGAAGAAATACTTGATTAATTTTCTATCTCTCCTCGCAGAAATTTGAAAATTTTGTATAAGCCCAGTAGTATTATTTACAATTATACACAAAATCCAGAATCCAAAAAGAATCTGAAAAACTTGAAACGTAATCAATAAGTCGAAAGACCAAAAAAGACTTGGATGGATTATACTATGTTTTCTATAGAAAGTGTATAAATCTTCCAGTTTGATTGTATTAACAAAATATAGACAAATGGGGTTTATTGTTTTTATAATACCTCATTGTATTCAAAGTCTTATACACCAAATTATTAATATTTTTGATTCTCTAGAAATTGTTTAGAATATATCTTACTTATCAAAACAACGTCTGCCGGGTCAGCTAGTATATTATATATATATATATATATATATATATATATAGATATATATGTATAGCTGTGTGTTTATAAAACCGCATCCTTTATTATCCTCTGCACATAAATATGCATCTTCCGACAGTATTCTGCATTTTCATTTAATTCCTTTTACATTCTACCACCATCCCTTCTATTCATTATTCAAATGAATGTAAATAAAAATTCTAGAGCATACAATAATTACATGAAATGCATTTTTTTATTTCTCATCTACGTTGCGCGTGATGCACCAAACGAGCATAAAAAAAGGTTTTCGTAAAATAATATAGATATCAAGTGTGTGTGTGTGGCAATACGAGTCGGCAATCATTTTTCTAGAGTTCTAAATAAATTTATTAAATTGGTGACTAAATTTAATCAAATCAAGCAATAGCAAGAATACATTGAAAAATTGGTCTTTCTCAATTTATATTCGAAACATAACATTGATGGTGACTTTAATTAATTTTGACAATAATAAAAATAAATTGATAGTTAATGTCAAAATCTATATATTTCAAAAAAACTTCGATAATTAATTTATATATAACTAGACGACCCGACAGGCGTTGTCCTGTACTTATGTTTACAATTCAAAAGTTCCAATCTTTTTTAATGACCTATATTTACCAATTAGTTAAAAATTATTATGTTTTTTTACACTACAGTCTATACCGAAATGTTTATACATCCACCCATATGGATCTAAAATGTAGAACTGCTTTAAATAAACTGATGAATATTTGCTTTTTTGAAAAACATTATAAAACATTTTTTTCTTATAGTTAGTTCTTTTATCGATATCCGACGTTATTTTGAAAAAAATAAAATTATACCAGTGAGAGGGATATCATCCCCCCGGGAAATGGCAACGGAGTCTAAATTATTTTCACTTTTGAACTTGAGAGTAAGATAAACCTAATTTCAAAATTTCATACGAATTGGAGCACAGTAAAAAAATTCAGACCCAAAACGCTCCATTGACTTGAGTGAATATTCCGTTGAAATATGAAAATACTAACGTTTGTACGTGAAAAAGAAAAGGGCTGTTTTTAGGGTTTTCCCGGCAATTATTCGATTTTTTCTTAACGAACATTTTAAAAAAAGAATTGGCGAAATTGGTCCAGGCGTTGTTGAGTTATGCGCTTACCAACACATTTTGCGATTCATTTTTATATTATAGATTATTGTTTTAGTCAACACTTTTCTCTCCTAATTCTCTTGACCACTTATTTGCAACCTTTGCACATTAACTTGCAGTAACTCTAATACACTTTTTTTTCAAACTTTCAAAAAAAAATTTTTTTTTTAAATATTTAATTTTTTTTTATCAAAAACAACATAAATTTTAACTCGAGTTACTAGAGAGTCTCCAATCGAGCGCAAAGGGTTAAATACATATGTCGTTTACCGTGTCGATATGTCTTCTACTCCATTTCTCATAAGGATTATGTGAGGACTATAAAGTATATCATACGCAGGGTTTCCGGAGGAAATGTCCGGTATTTTAACGACAATAAAAATAGCTGCAGTTTATGACTACAGCAAAAGCTTATAGTTGTGGAAAATTAAACGAACGGACGGTCCGTCCGTCTATTGAGATAAACGAGAAATATTGTGTAGGACGAGAAAATATATCAAAGGATAAAAGGTCCTTTTGAACTGCTTGTTTCAAATGAAATATTTGATGTAGTGGAGAGAGATAAAAAAAAATCTTGTTTCTTGAAAAAACTGCTTGATTTGACCGAAAAATGAAATATTTGATGTAGTAGAGAGATGGAAAAAATATTGTTTCTTAAAAAAAACTGCTTGATTTGACCGAATGGGGTCACCATGTAGTAAATTGAGATTTTTTAATGCTGCCTATAACCTAAGTTGGATATAAATGCACATGGCGAGCAAAACAAATTTAAGGAGCACAACTAGTGTGAAATTTTTAATTTTTCCATATTTCGATAGGTTATACCAAAAATAAATAACATACCAAAATTTTAAATCGATATCTTAAATAGTTTTTGAGTCACAGCCATTTAAAGAGTATGTATATAGTATATAGCATAACGATCGTTTTATCTTTAAAAGCGTTTTTCTCGAAACAGCATTTTCCGAATTTGCTACAGCGATTACTCAAAAACAAATGATCCGATCACTATCGATTTTTTTTTTACATGTTCTATATATGGTACTCCGTAAAATCAAATATCGATTTTTTGATCGGATCAAAAATCGAATTTTGGCAGTCCAAAAACGACCAAAATTATGGGTAAAATAAGCCTTTGTTTTAAAAAACGCCGTCATTTTGTCAATTTTTGATTCTTTTTCTTTATAGTAGTTCATTCTGCAGACAATACTATGTAGTTTAACGAAATTTTTTTTTTAAATTTCATCCACGTAGAAGGCCGGAATCACTGCAGCAGTGAAGGGCTTTTTTTGTCGCGCCGTTGGAGATCGACGATAACTTGAGAAATATTTAATTTTTTTCTTCAAAAATTTTACTATGTATTCTTAAAACATGTATAAATATATTCCTAAAATTTTAAAATGATTGATGAAGTATTTTTTTTAATATAAATTCCCAAAAATCACCTTTTTTAGGCGGTTACACTAGTAGTGCCCTCAAAATCGGTTCAGTAGTACTTTATAAATATATAAACAATACTGTGGTTATTTATTACTCCCTTACCTGGGTAACCATATCCGTGTTGAACCCTTCTAGTGGAGCCCCTTCTTCTTTGAGGAGGGGTCTCGGTTTCAGTGAGCCTCGGTTCACTGCTATAAAGGTTCCTCTGAAGGGGCTCCTGAAGTTGATGTGAAGATTGCTGTTTTCGCCTTACAGAACGGGGACCCGTCATTCGGGCACTTTGGGTGCGAGTTGCGGGCCTACGTCTGAAAAAAAAATTAGATAGATATAGATAAAATAACGGGTAGTACTGCCCTTGGGCAGGTTCGATTGTAACTCGATTAAGGGAAGAATAAAGTGACTGATTTCCGCTGCTCGAAAATCGGCTACTTTCAATTCGAAACATATTTTTGATTTATATAAGTGAAAATAGACATCGCTATTGCACGATGTTAGGTTGGGTTCGAACCTTCAAACATACGACCCCGTCCACACAAGGCGGTGCGTTTAACCATAATGCCATACATTTATATATGTAGAATCTACTGCATCGCATATGTATTTATTAACTTCCCGTAGGGTAGTTATAGTAATGGGCCGAAAATCGAAAATGAAAATTTTTGCATTTCTCGACGTTTTCAAGGTTTCTGAACATATTTCAGGCATACCTTTGAAAAAATGAATGTGTGTGTGTGTGTACAATTTTATAATGGATACAATTTTCCAGTCACGTTTTCGGGCGCTCGGATCAACCGATTTGAATGGTTTAAAAAACATTCGATCCCTATTGATAGGGAGATGTGCTGATTAGTTTTTGGCAAAGGCAGGTCCAGCCGTTACGGAGATACGGAGCAAAAAGTGCAGAAAATACAAATCGAGTTTTTGAGAGAACGGATCATCCGATTTGAATCATCTAAAAAACATTCAATTTGTAATTATTGGGAGAAGAGGTGATTAGTTTTTGCAAAGACAGGTCCCGCAATTTTGAAGATACAGAGCTAAATGTGCAAAAAATGGCAGTTTTTGAGTGAACTAAGCGTCCGATTTGAACGATCTAAAAAACTTTCTGCTTGTATTGATAAAACAATTGCTTTTGAGAATAAAAAATTATTACATCTTTTTTTATTTTCCATAAAATATTTTTGTAATTTTGGAATAAAAATTCAAAAAATTACCCAGGCTAAGCACAGTCTAAGCAACACTCTGGTACAAATGTTTACCCTGGTGCGTTTAGACTGTTTACGTCGGAGCACTTTTCCAATTTTGTGAAAATTATTGAAAATGTGAAAATTCCGCCAAGTATTAGTGAAAATGTCGCACAGAAATGCGTTTAGACTGTGACTATACGGGAACACTTTTTCAATTCTGTGTAACTTTTATGCAACTATTTTTTTTTTAATTGAATTCGAAATGAAATGACGATTGTTAATGTTCTGGAGATAAATTGATTTAAGATTTACATTTAATTTACTCAGATATAACAAGATAGCAAAAGTAATGAAAGTTACAGTATTTGTAATAATATATTTGAAAACGTTTAAAATTTCTCGAATATTTAATTACGGTACGGGAAGTTCCAGCAATTTGCCTTAAAGCACGATGCTATACACCACTAGTTTATTCATGAGATTTTATTGAAAAGACGTGCGTTATTACGCAACACGCTTACAGAACACATTAACACTTTAAAAGCTCAATATAGATATTTTTAACCCGATTGTACTGCATTTTGAAGAAAATTTATACAAAGAACGAATTTGCAAAGGAACTTAATTAAGCATTTATAACAATAGAACTATAAACAAACGCAATGATCTCAGTACAATGTGCGATGCAAGCAGCTGTTTTTTTAGATATTAATAAGTGTTCAAGAAATTTTATTTTTATTTTTTTTCAATCAAGTACCTTCTGTTAGGTGTGCTGGAACCTTCGGGTGTGTTCGAACCCGAAGGGGCTGTGAGAACCGCTTCCATAGAGGAGCCTGGAGCACATATCGACATACTCCGGCTCTGCTTATAGGCAGGATTTGAATCTGTCCCTGACATTTTGTATCCTGAAAAAAAAAATTGAAAAAATAGAATATTATAGTTCTTTACATGAAATGCAGTTTACTATTTGACACATAAAGAACAATAACCAAAATGTAACATTTCAGCAATTGTTTCCAGTAATTCGAACATAAGATCACCGTTTAGTAGTATTCATTTTTCTTCTCCATCAGATATTTTTAGTATATTTTTTTTTGTTAGTTAGTAGAGTTCTTTTTCGTGGGTATATTTCTATTCCATTTTATGATTGTGATGATACATCACTCATTCCCTATCCATCCAATTCGAAATTGTGTCTGAATAATTAAAATCATATCCCCATGTTCCATTTTCAACTTGTCGATCCGTGCGATTCGCAAAACAAATAACTTTTAATTGTATTATTAAAGAAAATAGACGGAGCGCCAGCGACTTTGACAAATGGTAATAAATAAATATGTGCTGAAAGGCAGCTTCGTCTACAAATTAGTATGAATTTTTCATCCTTGTATAAGATTAATTATATAAGCAAAAAATTTACCTACTAATTAGTAGAATGAGTGTTATTTTAAAAAAATGTAAAAAAATGTGTCGTAATAATGGTGCGCCCAAAAACGTGACTGGAAATTTGTATCCATACATACATACATACACACACAACCATTTTTCTGAGGTATGCCAAAACGTTCAGAAACCTTCAAAACATCGAGAAATGTAAAAATTTTCAATTTCGATTTTCTGCCCATTACAATAACTTATCCTACGGGAAGTTAATAAAGACTTATCGAACAATAACAAATTTTAGACAATTTACAACTTTTTCACATAATATAAAACTATAAGACAATTTCAAATCTAATATAACATAATCCACAACAATTCTAGACAATTTACAAATTTAAAAGGTTTACACATTTTTCAGACGACTTATGAAGCTTTCAGAAAATTTACTACAATTTTAGACAATTTAGAACAATTTTAGACAAATTAATACAACTATACTGATCTGGAGAAATTATTAAAGATTTCTCACATAATATTTTTTTTATTCGCAAGATACTGATAATTAGCAAGCTTATAACCTTTAATGATCTGGAGAACCTCCATTATCAAATTTTGGCACTGAAGATTTTTTTAAATGCATTATGCTGATAGTTAGCTATCTTATAATGCATAAAACCCTTAGATAGCTTATAACCCTTAGAATATCAATTGTTTTCATATCTCAAACTAAACATTTTCCATAAAAGTTGATGCAAAATCAGAGTTTTTCTTCACAAAGTCTGGAAATAGTGCATTATAGAAAAACTGCATTTGTCAAATTCCAAATTACAAAAAAAAATATTAAAAAAATTTGTTGCAAAATTATCAGAATTACTTTATAAAATTATTTCAGTCAAAACAAAAAAAGCATTTTTTTCTTTAATGTAAGATAATTTTTATAAATTAATTTGTAACAAAATATTTATTTGAATCAAATATTATAAGACGATTTTATAAAAGTTACCAAGTATATATACTTGCCAAAACTAAAGTTTCTTTTTAAATTTTTCAATATAAAATTATTTGTTTTTAGGCATTTGTCAAATTATATAAAAATACTGTAGCAAAAATAAATTTAAGGTCCGTTAGATTAAATATGTATTATCTATTCTATTAATCCAATTTTATTTTAATATTTCTATTCCTTCCTGGGTCGTCAGCTCTCCATCTATATTTGGGATTAATGTTATTTGGAATTTGATTGCATCCGTTGGGAATCAAATCGGAATTCACGACTCGGGTGGAAGATATTTGCATGTTTGATTAAATATTATCGCTTTTGTATCAGACGCCTTTTTCGGAAAACAATTATTATTATTAAATCAACTAGTGGTGTATGACATAAGAAAATAATAGACACTTTTTTTGAAATCGATATTAACTCGATGAATAGGAATAGGAAAACATATTGAGAATTATATGGGGAAAAGTGAAATTATATAGGTTGGTTTGCAAAATTAGTATCGGGGTGTATAAAACAGTTTGTATAGAATTGTAAACTTAAACTAATTTCTGCTAAGCTAATTAAAATAGAGTGTCCGGAATAAATTTTTGGAGTATTTTCAAGATTTGCCAGAAAGTGACCCAGCAAATTTGTACAAAATACATTGGTGTCTTTAAGCGAGTTTTAATCAAAATGTTTGTATCGGAGAATAAAAGTCTGTTTATACAGAATTTCAATATATTTTATCTAGTTTCTATTAAGGTAACTCAAAAAAAATCAAATATAGATTGCCTCACAAAATTTTAAAAAATATCCCTAATATTACCCAGCAAAGTTGTACAATATACATTGGCGACTTCAAATTCATTTTATTCAAAAACTTCCAACCGGGGTATATACATTTGTTTATATAGAATTGCAGTGTATTTTTTATAGTTTCTGCTAAGCTTATTAAAAAAGGGTGCACAGAACAAAAATTTCGAGTAATTTAAAGACTTCTTAAAAAATGTCCCTTATATCACCCAGCAAACTCGTACAATATACATTGGAGGCTTCAAATTAGTTCTACTTAAATTGTTTGTATCGGGGTGTATGAATTAGTTTATTTAAATGTATCAATCGACATTTTTGTCCTGACTCTCAAGATAACAGAGCAACCTGATCTAAAAATAGATATCCAAATAAAATATTTTTTATCCTTGACCAGCGTTTTCAATTCCACCAAAAGTCTTCTTACTTTGTATACAAATCTATAAATAATTTCTCGTAAACTGTTAAAAGCATAAAAGTGGCCCCCGTGTTTAGCTATTATAGCTGGCCAGAAGGCATTAAAACTAAAACTGGCTATAAGTAGAAAGGATAAAATTATAATCAGAAACGAAAAGAGAAAAACCAGGAGAAATATAAAAATTCTCTTAAATCTGCATCATTCTCCTCTAGTAAATTAATCATTAGTACAATCAATCCTTCATTTTTAACTTCCCGCATTTTTTCGTACACGTTTTCGGGCGCACGGATCAACCGATTTGAATGGTTCAAAAAACATTCGATTCCTATTAATAGGGAGATGTGCTGATTAGTTTTTGGCAAAGGCAGGTCCAGCCGTTACGGAGATATGGAGCAAAGAGTGCAGAAAATAGAAATCGAGTTTTTGAGAGAAAGGATCGTCCGATTTGTATGATTCAAAAACATTCAATTCGTAATGACGGGGAAAAGTTGTTATTAGTTTTTGGCAAAGGTAGACCCAGCGGTTTCTGAGATACAGAGCTAAATGTTAAAAAAATGACAGTTTTTGTGAGAATTAAGCGTCCGATTTAAATGATTCAAAAAACTTTCTGCTTATTTCAACTAAATAATTGCTTTTGAAAAAAAAAATTTGTTTCTAATTTTTTTTTTCAAAAAATATTTTTGTAATTTTGGATCAAAAATTCAAAAAATCACCCAGGCTAAGCACAGTCTAAGCGCCACTCTGGTACAAATATTTACCCAAGTGCGTTTATTAAACTGCTACAGTACGTAACTGGAGCACTTTTCCAATTTTGTGAAAACTATTGAAAAATGTGAAAATGCCGCCACGCTAAGCACAGTATAAGTGAAACTATCGTACAGATTTATTTGCAAATGCGTTTAAACTGTGACCATACGGGAGCACTTTTTCAATTTTGTGTAAATCAGGCAACTATTTTTTTGAAATTGATTGAATTTGAAAATGAAATGACGATTGTTAATGTCCTAGAGATAAATTGATTTCTTTATGATTTACATTTGATTATTTGCTCAGGTATAACAAGAAGAAATAATGAAAGTTACAGTATTTGTAATAATATATTTGAGAACGTTTAAAATTTCTCGAATATTTCATTACAGTACGGGAAGTTCCAGCAATTTGCCTTAAGGCACGATGCCATACACCACTAGTTTTCATATACATTGATAACTAGCAGCAGTAGTGTGCTTTGAGGTTGTTACCATCCCCTTAGATTAACCCAATTCCAAAGTTCTATCTATCCACAAAACGTGATAACATCTCTTTGCCCGGAGTACGTAATAGTTCCGGTTTATCCGGTTATCCGGTTATCTGTAGTTCCGGTTAATGGACGGACTGAACGAGGAAGCTTTTATTGCACCATGAACGGATCGACGGATTGTGAATTATCGCAAACGAGTACGGAAAAATATAAAAAAAGAGGAAAATGGATGAAAAATCCATTGGAAATACTTGTGTAGAATAATGTCGGTTTGTTTTATAAATCGGAATTAAATGATAGAAATTAATAAAACACCAAACAACAACATAAAATTACAAAAACGATAAACAAAACAAAAAATTTCTAGAGAGTTTTATAAAACAGTGCTCTAAAAGATTCTCAAAAGAATGTTAAGACGTTCCCGAAAGCCCTCAGAGGTTTTTGGAAGTCGACATAAGACAAAAGAACTCTTACGAATAATCAGAAGTTCTAAAAGTTCTCAAACGTTCTTAAGAAACAAAAGTTTTCAAGAGCACTTAAGAGTTCTCAATAGCCCTCAGAATTCCTCAAAAACCCTCAGAAGTTCTCAAAAGCTTTCATAAGATTTCAAAAATACTTAAAAGTTCGTTGGAAGTCTCAAAAAATCTTAAGAACACCTAAGAGATGTCAAGTACCTTTGGAAGTTCTCAAGAACCTTCGGATGTTCTCAAGAATACTCAGATGTTCTCGACAATACCCATATATTCTCAAGAATCCTAAGACGTTCTTAAAAGCCGTTATACGATTTTAAAAGTTCGAAATTTATCTTAAACGTTATTAAAGGATTTCATGAGATATCAAGAACACTTAAGAGTTTTCAAGAGTTCTCAAGAGCTCCTCAGAATTTCTCATGGTCCTTCAGAAGTTTTCAAAGGCTCTTAAAAGATCTTAGGGGCTTTAAAAAGATCTCAAGGGCTTTAAGAAAATCTCAAGGGCTCTCAAAAGTTCTCAAAGGCCTCTAGAAGTTCTCAAGGGTCCTCAGAACTTTTCTAGGGACCACAGACGTTCTCAAGGGGCCTCAGATG